GACGGGCGGCGTCGGTATGGCAACGGCGCAATGATGTTCGGGGCTGACGGTTCTCTACGAGCCTGCTACTTGATGCCGGCGAGAAGGAAGGTTCACGACTGAAGGTCCGACAGCGATATGGACTCGCGAGGACTGAAACTCGATGATCGAAGGTTTGCAAACGGGGATCGATATGACTGAACAGAGGCTGCTCGATGTCTCGCGGTTAGGGCTTGTGCGGACAGTGGTTCAATTAGGCGTCCTGCGTCTGACAAATCAGCAATCGACGGCGGAGGATAGGTGGTGAACGGCTCGTTCACTGCTGCGTGGATCTCTTCCCAGCGAGAGGCTCATCTGCGGCGATCGGAGACTAGACTGGGGTTCGCTGGTCGTCGGGGCGATATTGTGGTGTTTTTTTGGAGTGTACAAAGTTGTTGATTGAACTTTGTAAATGTTACGTAAAGTTGAAATATGTAGGAATTGATAAGTTTTAAGATCTATTCGTGTCATGTAAAGTAGACATAGGTTGTTTATCTAATGTATAACTACATTCGGTTTTGGATTTTGCAATCATTTAGAATTGTGTATTATGTTTTTATGTCGTTTTAGTGTTGTTTATATGTTGTTTATCTTATGTATAACTATGCGAGTAATATTAGAGAAATGTTAGGCCATGTTTATCTAATGTATATATACAGTATATCTAAACATATTTTTTCATGGTTATGAGGAAGTATATATGTAGTTATACTTAACATAAATGGTAGATAAACAAAATATATCACACACAAGCCATTGACGAATATATTGATTTTATTTGCCAAAGGTTTGCTTTCTCATACCAAACATCAAATCATTGACAAAAATCAGATAATCTGAAATGATGCATTAAGACACATGGACACTTTTATCTTTGAAAGTTTCGCCGATCGTAATATCAATATTAATGTATCCATCGACCAAAACTCCAAGCTTCTGGAGTGTTTATTTCCCATTTATCTTCCGTATACTTTACTGTTTTTGGAATGTTCTGGAGTGTATTTCTCGTTTATCTTCCGTATACTTCACTGTTTTAAATCTAGTCTGCAGCTGGTTCGGCTATTCCTCTGTAAAATCATCATCTTCCGAATCTTTTCAGAACACATATTCCTGAAAATAAACAGCAAGAAAACAAATAAACAAAACCAAACATAAACCAAACATATTTGGTGATTTAAACATCAACCCATGTAATATGAAAACAAAGAAACAAAACCAAACATAAACACACACAAGAAAAAAAAAGCATATTACCTTGATGATTTCAATAATAATAATAATAAAAACATCCACTTTAGGAGCAATATTTGATTTGTTCCAATCGTTTTTTTTTTTTTNNNNTTTTTTTTTTTTTTTTTTTTTTTTGGTTTACCAATCGAAAATCCTCCGATCTACAATTCACACAAAAAATGGAGATGAATATCGTCTTCTCTATTTTGTTTCAAATTTGTAAAATCTCCTGACAATATGTAAAGTATCATATTTGGAAATTAAAAAAAAAAGGAAAAAAAAAAAAAGAAAAACAGAAAAGTTGTTTTGAATGCGTAAGAACCGGACACATTAATTGAGTTCTTATGTTTGGAAACGTTAAAGAAATCGTATATTTGAAAATGGTTATCCATAAAATACAATATTGATAAAAGATTCATGAAACCGTAATTTTAAAAATATGTCTGATACAGGGCACATGTGTGTAAATTTCCCGGCTTTAAAACCGTACTTTGTAATCAGACTTGTCAAACCGAACATTGACTTAGGAATTAAATGTTCGGGTAAATTTAAATTGCTCGTAATTTAGACTAAATTAACTAGTCGATGGAATTTAATAAAATAATTGAGCTCGGATTTAAAAATCGAACGTGGACTCGATTTTAAAATGAGCTAAATTAAAATCGAATAATGAGCTCGATTAAATGAAATGGACCGGAATAAAATGGATTGGTTGTTGGGCCGAGGCGGCTCGTATTTGAATGGGTCGCGAAGATTCAATATTCGAGCTTCGCACGGCTTAAATAAAATCTCGATTATTTCAAGGCTCGGTTTTACTTTTAAAAATAAAATCGATACTTTAGCTAAATAAATTCGATTTTAAAATAAAAAATTAAATAATTTATCATAGCTTAGACTTAATACTAATTACTAGATTTAATGTAAATAGTGACAACTAAATGCATCAATTAAGGAAACTTGCTATTTATGAAAATAAAGTCAAACTCCATAAATAGTAAAAATAACGCACTAAGGCCGTTGGTTTAACACGAAGAATTTGCTCGAAAACGAGCGCTTTTGTTCTTTGTTATTTCATAATAATACAAATGAGAGTACATGAGTTCATTTAAAAACAACCGCGCTCTTCAATACTAACATGCGGTTGATTAAAATTTGCCAACTAAAATTTG